CACTAACTCTAAGATTCTGCTTAACTTTTATCGCTGCACCATTGAGAGTTTACTTGTTGGTTCTGTGACTGTGTGGTTTGGTAACATCACAGATAAAGAAGAGAGAGCTTTAAACAAGGTGCTCCGTTCTGCAAAGAGGACCGTGGGCCGTGAGCTTCCTGTTCTGGAGGTTCTTTTATAAATCCAGACTTTTAAACTGAGCTCTTAAAATCATCAATGACTCTTCTGGCCACCCTGGGAAAGCCATGTTCCAGCTTCTTCCCTCTGGCAGAAGATATCGCTCTCTGAGATGCAGGACATCTCGTTACGCTAACAGTTTTTATCCACAAGCTGTTATCAGTGTGAACAGAGCACTTTAATGATTTGCACTTGTTTTGAAACTGTTTTAGTCGATCGATTTCACAGTGACATTTGTTTACTGTTTTATTTGTTTTATTTTTGTCTTTTAATGTTGTTTTATGTCTGTATTTGTCTGTGCACACTGGGGACTTTTGCTAATGTATTCCAATGTGGTGTTTTTACTGCAAATGGCAAATAATCTGAATCTGAATCTGAATCAGAGAACTTAACTAGGAGATCATAGTTTTCAGAACATTTTCCCCTTTTGAGTCCCCTAACAGCTCCATCCCAGAGGTCAGAGCGACAGATGTTAAATCTGTTGACATGTTTATGGTCGATCTGGAGTGTCAGATTTTGTATTATATCTGAAGCAGACAGCTGTTCCCCCCTAAAAAACAGATAGAACAGGAGTATGTCACTTCATAAACATAATGTAAATGATAGCAGATGCATCTAAACACAACAAAACCCACAGTTGTTGAGAGGGTGAGTTGTTTCTTACTCTGTTTCTTTTGGAGTATCATGGCTTTTATTGGAACTGTCCACACCTTTAACTTCTTTATCCTCTTGATCATCGATCACAATGGGTGAATACAACTCAGTGTATTTTCTGAGAAATTAACACGAAAATTAATATTTTCAAATAAATAAGATGTGTGATTTGAAGAGTGAGAAACATTACATGCAACTTGTAGTTTTCATCACATTCACTGCTTTTCCTTGGTCCATTTGTGAGTTGGAAGGCAAGTCTAATCCACAAAACATGACGTTAGCAAAAACACTTATTACAGTCAATTTACAAATTATAGCATTTGTTTTCTACATCACGTAGACCTTAAATCAGTGTAACATAAATAGTTGTGCAGAAGAACATTCGTTTTTGGTTATATTTTATAACATCACTAGCAATTGCCATTGTTAGTGAACAGGTTTACACACACTATTTTTTTTCAGTTCAATCGTGCAACATGAAACATAACGTTATTAGGTAACAACACACAATGTTTAGGAACTACACATTACCAGAGCTGTTAAATCAGTGTGTGATTGTTGATCATCGCTTGTACTGTTCAAGGCAGGTTCCGATATCTGGGTATAATAAAAACAAGTTTTAGTGTAGTACTTCAGATTACATAAACCAAACTATGTCAGAAATAATTTATTTTATTTATGGGTTTATTTAGTCAGGACAGTGCATGTTAATGAACATACATGGGTCTCATGCATGTAAACACCACACCGGATTATAGCCTTGGGCTAATTTGCATCCGTTGTCGTCCATGCGTACTCTCATTCATCCTGGCCTATTGTACATGTTTTTAGTGGTAGGGGAAACCAGAGTACCCGGAGGAAACCTACACAGACACAGGGAGAACATGCAAACTCCATACAGAAAGGCCCCGTCCAGGTGGGAATCGAACCCTGACCCGTCATATAATTATATGTATATATTTAATTGTACTATTCTGGAATTCAGTATGGTACGTGATACACATTAGAGGGAATGGTCATTTCAAAATGTTTAATTGGAAAATGCAAACATTAAAATGTCTGTTTTGAAATATGAGCAGTGTGTAGCATGGGAAAAAAACATTATATACCTGTATATACCACTGTATTGAACTCCATCTCACTATTGCTCATGATGATCACCTCTGAATCGGACTCCTCGGAATCTGTGGTGGCCTCCTGAGCTGTGAAATATCAGATCAGATATGGACAATTATATTAAATCAATGAACCAATACCAGAGTGCTCCTTCAGGTTGGCAATTAGTCTCGGGTTAACTCACAACAGGTCATGAAATCTTCAACTGTACAAATGTACACTGTGATGCGTTGGTACGCTTTCCCCACTGCCTCCTTGTAGTCTTTTATAGAGAATGGGGTATTTGTTCCTGGTATATTTACTATCTTTGTACCATCAGGATACACCAGAAAGTGGGGACCAGGAGGTAAGTTTTTGTTGAAGGCCTTCAATTTTTGCAGTGCCGCATTGTGCAATTCTTTGGCATCTGAGCTTGGTTTGAGTGAAAGGGTGAGTGTCATTCCTCTCATAGGACTCAAGACTCCATCTTTCAGTCGAATAAGGCCTACCGAAATCTACAGAGAAACAACAGAAGAAGGCTTCTGTAAAGCAGCCCACTGACTTACAACATTTATATTACACACTACGAATACATGGCAAGGTTGACGACCAAACAAGCTCATTAACGTACAAACACAAATTGAAGTTATCTTCACAAGGTTTTCTTTCAGCGGTTCTTTTTTCCTTTTGAAACTTAATTGCCTCTCCTTCTCTTAATATCCTGAAATTCCGGAATGACTCCAGTTGACTCTTCTTTTATGCCTCCTGCATCAAACAGAGGCAATCAACTCTTATTAAAGCGAATTTAAGAATAAATAAGAAATCTGAGACAGTTACAATATAGAACACATATGTCTCAAGTTACAGCAAAATTGTAACATTACCCTGACTTGTGCTTGGTTTTTGGACATCACGCAGGAATGTTATATTATTTCCACACGAACTACAGAATGTTGTTTTGGGGTTTATTCCCGAACCGCAAAAAAGACAATACATCGTAATCTGTAAAGTGGGACACTGATCATGTCACGAAGGTCCAATGCACGTTGCTGCATTAAACTTTGTAACATTAGCGCAATGCCCAAGTCATGGATGGCAAGTTACAGCGGTACAAGTTGAACCTAACAATAGTGATTATTTATGCCAGTTAGAAAGTGACATCGACCATGGTTACAAAGCAAAGCAATGTCTTACTATAACTTACTTTTCCAACTTCAAATCCTCTTCCACCAGCGTCCATAGCATGCCGTCCGTCGACTATTGCAGTCCTACGGTCACTTCCGTTGTGCCTTTCGTTAAGTTGTTGTGTTGTGGCTTTCGTTAAGTTGTTGTGTTGTGGCTTTCGTTAAGTTTTTGTGTTGTGGCTTTTGTTAAGTTGTTGTGTTGTGACTTTCGTTAAGTTGTTGTGTTGTGACTTTCGTTAAGTTGTTGTGTTGTGACTTTCGTTAAGTTGTTGTGTTGTGGCTTTTGTTAAGTTGTTGTGTTGTGCTTTCTTTAAGCTGTTGTGTTGTGGCTCAAAGTTGTTGTGTTGTGGCGTTTGTATTTGTTTTAGCATTTGCATTTGTTGTGGCATTTGTATTTGTTGTGACCCCTCTCGGCCACCGTAATTTCCCACCTCCAGTGTTAACACAATTAAATGTGATGTCCTAATTAAAACGTAAATTCAACTTTTACCTTGTCATGGCCGCTCCTCTCTCCGCTCCGTGATCCATGCTACTGCTGGACGCTCACGTACAACAGGACGGCCTGAAAATAGTGTGCAGCGTCCGAATTTTGGACACTGAATTTTGGACACTGAATTTTTTTCAACATTGAATTTTTGGACACTGAATTTTAAAAGATTGAATTTATTTACACTGAATACTTTTTTGTTACAATTTATAGAATTCAAAAGCAAAAAAAGTGTTGATAATAAAAACACAAAATAACCTTTATATATATCACTAAAGTACTAGACATTTGTCATTGTAATGATGTGTAGCACGCTGAAGCAAACATAGATCAAACCTGCTGCATCAAATGATCTGCTACATTTCATCAACTTCCACGTGATAAAGCCTATGGTGTAACGCCTACCGGGTAAATTCCCTCTTAGACAACATAAAATAATAGTAAAAAAAACCTAGCAAAACATAGTACGAAGAGGTCTGGCGCAATGAGACAAAGGCGCGCACCTGGGTTGATATTCACTGATTTCCTATTTTCCTATTTCCTATTTAGTACGTGTTTATGTGTGCATGTTCTTGTGATATCAATGTCTGTCAGAAAAAAATATCCTGAAAATTCTAAAATCCATGACCGCCGCCACTATAGGGCATTTTTATATGTAAATTAGATGGGTACATTCAATCCCTTCATAAACTTTGGGCCATCCTTAACTATTTTTCTAATTTACAGAAGGCCTCCATCTCTTATAACATTTAAGTTACAGCCTTATAGCTTAAGAAAGAATCTCTGGTGCTTAATGCAGGTATAGTGTTCTCCATAACAAAATGTATGTGCAGAAATGACTCTCCAACACATTGTAAATGTAGTTAGTAAACTACAAGATAAAAAAAACAATATTGCTGAACCTCTGATAAGTGTGCTAGCTTCATTTAACAACATGAAAAAGCAAATTAGAAATGAATCCATCACCTCCATACAGCAAAACAAAAAGGATTAATGCTATGCCCTTGAAGGACCTGCTCAACACCCTCTCTGAGATCAGGGTGAGCACTCCCAGCTACATATTTTTCTATATATTATAATATTAATGTTATAACTAGGAGCATTTAATTCAAATTCATCTGATAATTTACCACTTCAATATGACAACATGACCACCCCCACTACTTTCTGCCACCGGTAAAGCCTATTTAAAAGCATAGTATGATAGTCAATGTTTAAAAGCAGTGATGGAAAAAGTGAAAGAAAACAAACCATGCTCACCAAGGTCTTGTCAGGGACCCTCTCCAGCCCAGCTCACCTCTGCTGGGCCATCCCAGTGTGGGTCACGGGTGTAAAGGGTGGATGTAAGCAGAATTGAGCACCGCATTCCTTCACACGCCTCTTAAATATATGTGTTTTTACAGCCAAGTCACCATCCAGCGTTCGGATGAACAAATGGTGTGCTCTGCTCCTGCTTCTCCCACTGCTATTTGGTGAGACATTTTCTTAATATTTTATGTATTTTATGTACTACTACTTAACCCCTCTACTATTCTGAAAAAAATCTTCTAGAAATTTTAACCATATTGCAACAATAAGGTTGTTTATAACATAGACCAGTGGTTCTCAAACTTTTCACACCAAGTACCCCCTCAGAAAATACTTGCCTCTCCAAGTACCACCACAAATGACCACACCACACAGTAGCGTAGTAAGCCGAAGTATTCATCAATAACAAGGCAGAGGTTTCATTCCTAAAGAAGTATATTTAATGTAATATTTTACACAATTTCAACAGTAAGACTGCGCTTAAATATAGGAAAAAAATTTGTTTTAAATGTTTCATTCATTGCGAACTGCAAAGCCTCACTGTGAGTGATATTCTGGAGTGGGATCTTTGTCCACAGAAGGTTTGGACACTGGTGCACTTTAGTTTCTAAGGCTTGCTCTGCTGCCCTCTGACATCTGTCGTTTACTCACAGAGACATGTTCTCATGGTTTGGATCAAATGATCGTTTGTTGCTCTCTGTTCCTTTTGCACAGAACTGGGGAAAAAAACTGCTCCTTCTACATGGAACGTGTTGCAAAAAGACTAGAAATGATCTGATCTTATTTCCTTGAATGCTTTTAGATCCAGATTGAGACATCTTCAGTGAAATGTAACTGTTTTTATAATCCGTATTTTTATGAAATTGTGTGTTACTGTTGTATAATCTGTATGTGACTATTTTATCATCTGTATGTGACTGTTTTATCATCTGTAATTTTATGTAATTTTTGTACACAAAAAAGAGGTTCTCATTGACTGCCAGCCATTTTTTGATGACTTCACTGATTTTTAAGACTCACAGAATATTGTGTGCTATGAAAAATATGAAACCAGAGTCTGAAAGACAGGACTGTCTACTTTCAGCAGCAAAAAGAAGTTTGTTCTTAGTTTGTTTCGTTCTACTGTGATCTCCAGTCGAAAAGAGGAGAGTGTGACAAAAAGCACCAGTCTTAGACAAAAAAATTAGAAAATGAGGTTTTTGTGAAAACAGACGAACTGCAGAAAAGTGATTGTAAAACTATTTAGTTTAACTTTAGCATCTCCTCAAACATGTTAGAAAACAGCAACACGTTTTGAGAAAGTGTTTTTAATGTAAAATAATAAGTTTTATGGCACACACACATCCACAAAGTGTTGCTCAAAAATTTCAAAATGTACTCATCCAAAAAATGTCAAAATGTACATATTGAAAGTAGAGCCCATGACAAACTATGGCAGATAGAATGGCCAGTATTCATCCATTAGGTGGCACTATATTTATGTCAATAAGAGTAAATCAAAGAATAACAAAATTACAATGATAAACACTATACATGACAATAAATCAAAGTGAATACTTATACTTATAGTATAAGTGCAATAGAATACTGCTGTGTGTCTTTGTGTATTTGGGCGTGCATGTGCATGTATGTGCGTTTATGCACGCGTTTGTGTGTTTTTGTGTGGTTACATCTACAGAGCGTCTGTTTAGTCCGGCGTGCGCTGTGACCATATCTGGACTTTGCTGCTGGCGCCTGGTGTGGACTCAGTGATAATTTTAGCAATAGTCCACTTTTCTGTGGCTTTTTTGAGGTGCTCCACTGGTCTGCTGTCCTGACCCTCCACATGGTCTGCTGCTAGGGCCCTCCACATGGTCTCTGTCAGCTCTGGAGACACAATTACTGATCAAACTGCCTCCAAATGTAGCCTGACCCTGACTATATTACTCCATGTCTGCTTCACCTCTGTCTCTCCTGCTCAGAGTGCTCAGAGTGATCTTTGACCAAACCAGGGAGTTCTGCTGCCACCTGCTGGCTTAATAAAATACTGTCTACAGCCAAACCCCAGACTGTATGATACAGGGGACACCGTCTGACAGGAAAATATTGAAAAACAATGTTGTCCTCAAATGACATCCATGGCTGTCAATGAGTTAATCTCAATGGGACTTTCCTGGTAAAATAAAAATAAAAAAATTTTTTAGTAGTGTTTATCATTGTAATTTTGTTATTCTTTGATTTACTCTTATTGACATAAATATAGTGCCACCTAATGGATGAATACTGGCCATTCTATCTGCCATAGTTTGTCATGGGCTCTACTTTCAATAGAGATACTGTTGTGGAGAAGTTTAAAGCCGGATTTGGATACAAAAAGATTTCCCAAGCTTTAAACATCTCAAGGAGCACTGTGCAAGCAATTATATTGAAATGGAAGGAGTATCAAACCACTGCAAATCTACCAAGACCCGGCCGTCCCTCCAAACTTTCATCTCAAACAAGGAGAAGACTGATCAGAGATGCAGCCAAGAGGCCCATGATCACTCTGGATGAACTGCAGATAACTACAGCTGAGGTGGGAGAGTCTGTCCTTAAGACAACAATAAGTCGTGCACTGCACAAATCTGGCCTTTATGGAAGAGTGGCAAGAAGAAAGCCATTTCTCAAAGATATCCATAAAAAGTCTTGTTTAAAGTTTGCCACAAGCCACCTGGGAGACACACCAACCATGTGGAAGAAGGTGCTCTGGTCAGATGAAAGCAAAATCGAACTTTTTGGCCACAATGCAAAACGATATGTTTGGCGTAAAAGCAACACAGCTCATCACCCTGAACCCACCATCCCCACTGTCAAACATGGTGGTGGCAGCATCATGGTTTGGGCCTGCTTTTCTTCAGCAGGGACAGGGAAGACGCTCTCCATCCAACCTCACTGAGCTCGAGCTGTTTTGCAAGAAAGAATGGGCAAGAATTCCAGTCTCTCGATGTGCAAAACTGATAGAGACATACCCCAAGCGACTTGCAGCTGTAATTGCAGCAAAAGGTGGCGCTACAAAGTATTAGCGCAAGGGGGCCGTATAATATTGCACGCCCCACTTTTCAGTGTTTTATTTGTTAAAAAAGTTTAAATTATCCAATAAATTTTGTTCCACTTCACGATTGTGTCCCACTTGTTGTTGATTCTTGACAAAAAATGTTTTTATATCTTTATTTTTGAAGCCTGAAATGTTGAAAGATTCAAGGGCGCCGAATACTTTCGCAAAGCACTGTATATGTTTTTAGTGGTAGGGGAAACCGGAGTACCTGGAGGAAACCGGAGTACCTGGAGGAAACCTACGCAGACACAGGGAGAACATGCCAATTCCAGAAAGACTCTGTTCAGAAAGACTCTGTTCCGACCGAGACTCAAACCCAGAACCTTCCCGGCAGAGAAGCGAGAATGCTATCCACTCAGCCACCGTGCTATCCACTCAGCCACTGTGCCGCCCAAAGAGAGACAAAACTCTTTTACGTAGTTTGATTTTGTGTAGATTGAAAGTTGTTTTCCCAATATTAAACTAATTGCAGTCTTAGCTTTTTTATTGTATGAATTTTTCTGCCCAACAGCAGATCTCTAATATTTGCTGTTGTTGTTTATGTGTTTGCAGGTGCCTGGTGGTGGTCTCTTGTCTCTGGACCCTCACCCACAGCTTCTGTCCATCGTACTTCTCCTCAGCCTATGGCAATGGTACCACTCACTCACCCCTACCCTGACCATAAAGTCATCTTCTTGCCACCATCTGTCTAAATTCTCTTTTCAAACACTATGACGAATCCTTAGATTGTAAAGTCATGTTTACCCTATTTATACCTCATAAACTTTTTCAACAAAGATGTTTTCATTTTAATTTTCTTTTTTTAATGAAATGCCAACATAAGGTGGTAGACAACTGTGAAGTGACACCAAAATGATCCATGAAGCGGATTCTTTTATATTTCTATATGGTCTACATAGCCAAACATTGGGCCAAATAGCAGGTAAAACCTTTGTTCATACCTATTTTTTTTCCTTTTTCAGGGGGAAATGAGACTCAAACACAACATACTTTTGGCTGAGGTAAGTCTTCTTGTTCCACTATTTAATGTTCTTTACAGATTTTCACATCCTTGTGTCTGTGCTGTAACTCCATGCCTTTTGGATATCATGGTGAGTGTGACTGTCTGAATTTGTCATCCAAGCTCAGACAACAAATGAAGATGGACCTCCAGGAGATCAAACAATGGAGCAGTGAGCAGCAGCTGCAGCAGGTGCAAGTGCAGCAGGGGGAACAGCAGGAGTGGCAAAGAATTGTGTCTGAGCTCCAGTCCAGTCTGCAGCAGGAGCTGCAAAGAGCTACGTTTGAGCTTCAGTCCAATCTGCAGCAGGAGCAGCAAAGAGCTGTGACTGAGCTCCAGTCCAGTCTGCAGCAGGAACGGCAAACAGCTGCATCTGAGCTCCAGTCCAGTCTGCAGAAGCTTCAGGCAGATGCCCAGAGCTTAACAGCTGGCCTCCTGCTCCGGCTCAGCGCGCTGGAGGAGCAGGTACTGAGCCCCACAGATAGATAGATAGATAAAGACTTAATTGATCTAGAAGAAAATACTGCATTAGTCACATATGCTGCTTTTCCATAGTAACGGTACGGTGCGTTTTTTTGCATTTCCACTTGGGTTTGGCTTGGGATAAGGATGTTATATGACTGTCGTGGCTGACATGTCTCTGCAACATTGCATGGCGATCAGGGGCGGTACCAATGGAGTGGCAGACCGGGGTGGTGGTCCCTCTCTACAAAAAGGGGGACCAGAGGGTGTGTTCCGATTATCATGGGATCACACTCCTCAGCCTCCCCGGTAAGGTCTATTCCAAGGTACTCAAGAGGAGACTTCGACCGATGGTTGAATCTCGGATTCAGGAGGAGCAGTGTGGTTTTTGACCCGGCCGCGGAACACTGGGCCAGCTCTATACTCTCCATCGGATACTCGAGGGTTCATGGGAGTTCGCCCAATCGGTCCACATGTGCTTTGTGGATTTGGAGAAGGCGTTCAACCGTGTTCCCCGGGGTGTCCTTTGGGGGGTTCTCCGGGACTACGGGGTCTGGGGTCCTCTGCTGAGGGCCGTCCTGTCCCTGTATGACCGGAGCCAGAGCTGTGTTCGCATTGCCGGCAGTAAGTCAGACCTGTTCCCGGTGCATGTTGGCCTCCGCCATGGTTGCCCTTTGTCACCGGTTCTGTTCATTGTCTTTATGGACAGAATTTCTAGGGGTCGGAGGGGGTCCGGTTCGGAGACCACAGGATTTAATCTCTGCTGTTTGCGGATGATGTTGTCCTGTTGGCTCCAACAAACCACGACCTGCAACATGCACTGGGATGGTTTGCAGAGTGTGAAGCGATGGGATGAGAATCAGCACCTCCAAATCTGAGCCATGGTGCTCGACCGGCAAAAAGTGCCGTGCCCTCTCCAAGTGGGTGGAGATATTCTTGTTCAAGTATCTCGGGGTCTCATTCACGAGTGAGGGAAGGACGGAGCGCAAGATTGACAAGCGGATCGGTGCAGCGTGCGCAGTGATGCGGTCGCTGTATCGGACCGTTGTGGTAAAGAGGGGGCTGAGCCAAAAGGCAAAGCTCACGATTTACCAGTCAATCTTTGTTCCCTCCCTCACCTATGGTCATGAGCTTTGGGTAATGACCGAAAGAACGAGATTGCAGATACAAGCGGTCGAAATGAGCTTTCGTCGCACAGTGGCTGGGGAAATGCTGGAGGGACTATGTCTCTCAGCTGGCCTGGGAACGCCTTGGGGTCCCCCCAGACGAGCTGGAGGAAGTGTGTGTCTGCTGCCCCTGCGATCCGGCAACGGATGAAGCAGAAGAAGATGGATGGATGAATGGGTAAACATCATTTGTAAATTTAAGTAGTGCCTTAGTAGTTGAGTGGCCAGACTGGAAGCCTGACTGATGGGGAGATAAGATGTTAAAGTTACAGTTGGCGGAAAATGATCGTTTCTATTATATTAGTGATAGTGCATGGGCCGATAGTTACTTACATCGGAGTGGTCTCCACCTTTAAAGATGGCAGTAACCATTGCAGTTTCCCAGATGAGAGGGACAGAGCATGTACTTAGTGACAGGTTAAACAGGTTGGTTAGTGGATAGATAAGCACACTGGATCCCAATAAAAGGTATTTTACTTCTAAGCCGTCTGGACAGCTGCACTGTTAGTTTTAAGCTCGTTTACAGCTTGTGTTGCATCCAAATGTGAAATCTGATTAAAAGAAAATGATGTCTCAGGTACAACATCAATTAGTGGATTCGGTACTGTAAGTATGGATGACCAGAGTGCTGTGTACTACTTATGGAGGAGAAATATTCATTAAAGCATTCAGAGATTAAGTTAAGATCAGGAGTTGTAGTATTATTAACAGTAACATGATTGGTTGCGTTTCTTTTGGACGTACCCAGAAGCTGGTCCAGGTGTTTCTAAAATGTTTTAGGATTATTGTAGCCTGGTTGTACCACACCTTAGTAGAAATTTCAATTTCATACTAAGGTCTGGATTTGCTCCATTGTGCTCCGTGAACAGGTGGGAGGGGTTAACTCCTTTTGCAGATTAAAACGATTGGATCTGAGTAGCCGGTCGAAATACGGCCGATTGTATTCGCTAACACAGGGACCAGACCCAGACGCTACATTCAGTGAAATGATGATTGAGCGGAGTGTACGGATGGCTATGGCCAGGCTAGGATTATTGTAGTTCAAACTGAGGGCTTCCTTATAGTTTTTGGACTTGGCATTCCTAGTTTGGGTTTTGGATTGATTCCTGAGTTGTCTATAGATCTCCCAGTCGTTAGGGTCCTTAGACTCTCTGTATTTAGTCCAAGCTTGGTCTCGACGTTTAAAAAGATTAATTAAGTCAGAGCTAGTCCATGGAAGATGCCGTCCTTTTACATGAATAGTTTTAAATGGGGCATGTTTATCAATTACTTTAAGGACTTCAGAATGGTATACCCCAAAGATAAAACCTTACAGTAATATCACAAAATCATGTATTCCATAAGTATGTAATAGTCTCAGTGCAATTTAGACAAGTCCAATGGATTCATAGACCCAGAAAACATGGGGTTAGACACCAATGCCGCCTTTCCACAGTATCAGTACGGTACAGTACAGTACGCTTCAGCGCGGTTATTTTGCGTTTCCACTAGTGGATGGTATGGGAGATTTGCGTCCTTTCCCTACTACCTCAGCCGTGGTTCCATCCCCATAGTACCGGTGCCATGACGTGACGTCGGCCCACTGCCTTACACTGATTGGTCAACGAGTGTTGTCACGGGAAGCGCCATCTGACCCTTTGGGAAAAACAACTCAACCGCCATCTTTAAAACCGGCTGCTCTGCTCGGCTCTGCTTCGGCTACATTACGTCCTCCTCACTCCAGAGAAATGGAATCGCACAGAAAGCCCCAAAAGTCAGCGTCCTGGTCCTGGTCGGTGGACGAGGTCCACACGTTCCTCTCTTCAGGCCAAAAGAAAGAATTCAAAGGCAGCTCGAGGCTCAACACAGTTTTCAGGGAGATCTCCCACCTCTGGATTTGTGACTAGTCTGGGGTAATCCTGGAAATAACTGGTTAGATACGAATCCCGTTGGCCCAAAGCTCTCACTGAAATGTATTTACTGTGTACATGTTTGATTGTCTGTTGTACACAGTGAGCTAGCTACATTTAGTTTCATTTAGCTATCGAGGCAGCTAAGCTAGCCTCCTCCCTGTGCTACTGTGCTTTATCTCGTATTATCTGCAGTATCCACGTGTTGTTATTCTTTTTTGTGCTCACATTTAAGTTGTCGTGTGTATATTTGTATGAGAATCCCTTCCCACAAGTGTGGAGATTACCAACGAGCAATGAGTGACCGGAGTATTCTCCTTGGCTGGTCTCACACATATGTACCTTGGACCTACTTTGCTTACTTTTATACGTAATTTGAAACTGATGGTTTTGCACTTTTCGTTTGTTTTTAATAAATCTGTGATTGTATCCCAAGACTGTGTTTCATTCATTTATAATGGATTGTGGCAAGTCTAAATCTGTATCCGGTGAGCATGTTTTGATTGTTATCCCTCTGCTCTCTCTTTGCATTAACCTTTGATAAATCCACGTATTAGTCTACAACAAGCTAACTTCGTAAGCACTCTGAATCGACTGTATTGCAGCTGAAGTTTGGGTATCGGTTGTTTTTCTGGTCTGAGTCTGCTGCACTGGACCCGGGTCTGGACTAGCCTATCCTAGCCTAGCCTAGCCGCTAACTCGCTACCCCTATGGCTGCTTCTGTCTATTCCTCAATCCTTTACTGCTCCAGTTGCCATATGACGAGTTTAAACCCTGGATCCTTCTCTGAGGGTAGTGATAGATGTTTGAAGTGTAGTACAGTTGTAGCTTTGGAATCCAGGGTTAGCGAGTGAGCCGAGTCTCGAGCTAGCACTAGCATTAGCTATACCCAGGCCGTATCCTCGGGCAAGCAGCCCTCCTCCTCTGCACACTGCTACACAGGCTGCTGTAGGTACAGTGGGGCAAAAAAGTATTTAGTCAGCCACCGATTGTGCAAGTTCTCCCACTTAAAATAATGACAAAGCTCTGTAATTTTCATCATAGGTACACTTCAACTGTGAGAGACAGAATGTGAAAAAAATCCAGGAATTCACATTGTAGGATTTTTTAAGAATTTATTTGTAAATTATGGTGGAAAATAAGTATTTGGTCACTTCAAACAAGGAAGATCTCTGGCTCTCACAGACCTGTCACTTCTTCTTTAAGAAGCTCTTCTGTCCTCCACTCGTTACCTGTATTAATGGCACCTGTTTGAACTTGTTATCTGTATAAAAGACACCTCAAACAGTCAGACTCCAAACTCCACTATGGCCAAGACCAAAGAGCTGTCGAAGGACACCAGGAAAAGAATTGTAGACCTGTACCAGACTGGGAAGAGTGAATCTACAATAGGCAAGCAGCTTGGTGTGAACAAATCAACTGTGGGAGCAATTATCTGAAAATGGAAGACATACAGGTGCCGGTCATATTATTAGAATATCATGAAAAAGTTGATTTATTTCATTAATTCCATTTAGAAAGTCAAACTTGTAGAATGTATATATTAATTCCAAACAGACTAATATATTTCAATTGTTATTTTGCCCAAAAGAAGACAATATAGCTGACAACCAATGAAAACACTAAATTCAATATCTCAGAAAATTAGAATATGGTGAAAAGGTATTGAAGACACCTGGTGTCACACTCTAATTAGCTAATTAACTCAAAACACCTGGAAAAGCCTTTAAATGGTCTTTTGTTTTGATTCTGTATGACACACAATCATGGGGAACACTGCTGACTTGACAACTGTCCAAAAGATGACCATTGACATGTTAAAGAAGGAAGGCAAGACACAAAAGGTCATTGCCAAAGAGGCTGGATGTTCACAGAGCTCTGTGTCCAAGCACATTCATAGAGAGGCAAAGGGAGAAAAAGATGTGGTAGAAAAAAGTCTACAAGCAAG